AGCCTGGAACACTCTGTACTCAAAGCACATAAGTATTGTTCCCCAGCCGTGTTCATTGCCAATTAATTTGGTGCCACTCTCCCTCAGTGACCCAAAATGACAAAGCAACCACTACCAAGAATTTGCTGGGGACGGTGATTCACAGCAGTGGGAGGACACTGGCAAGTCTCAAACCAGAAGTTATATGTTTGGCTCAACAAGGGACAGTTCCTTGATCCTGGACTCCTGGACATATCCATCACAAATGGATGGAGAATGTTGCCCTTACTGTGAGCAAATAGGAGAACTAGAAAGTGTGGTGAGCAGAACCGTGAACTACTTTGTGTTGCAGAAAGTGCACTAGAATATTACCAGGGCCTTGTGCACAAGTACAGGAGCATCATTTACACATCACTTTCATTGTGTTATGGACTAGCACTGAACAAACAATTCTGTGGGAAGCCTAACAGTGACACCATTGAGAGATGTTTCCAGTGCACGTCTCCCGGGCATACATTTGAGAATCTCCGTTTTGTTCCTGTCAGCTGCAATTTTCTGAAGTAGGGGATGGTGCATTCTGCCTTCCCTAGAGGCACTGTGGAACAAATAGAGAAATGGCCATTGGCGAACTCTTTCTTCATTCTTGAATTATTTTTCTCTTGCCCCTGTATATTTCTGCTCCTAAAGTCTGACCCTAGAGCTTGCAGCATCTCTAGGGTTATGTCAGCCATATTAATCATAATGTGGCTGATTAAGGATCAAGTAGCTGAATCTGGGCTCATTTGAGGAACCAGGTAGGCTCCAAAATAGGCACTCTTGATAAAGAATGACTTACTGACCGTGAAAAGGCTGATGTTCCTGAACCATTCAGGTTTTCTCCTGACTGTACTTGAACATGATTGGTGATGCCTTCTGATTTACCACTTGTCTTTGTTTTTAATATTAAAAGAGAACAAAGATTGAAGCGATTGCTTCAGTAGCAACTTTAATGGTGATGGGTTTGGAGTTATTAAAATTTATAGCTGTGTTGTTTCTGCAACTACATTTTGCTTGTGTTCAAGAGGCTTATAAAATGAACACAGGAATGTGGATAGGAAGAAACTACCAAATTGTGACAGGAAATCAAGCTTGAAAAAAAAGTTCTGTTTGCTAAAATTTACATTTATTTTTACAATAGACCTTGATGGCAGTGCCTGCCAAGCCAACCAGCCCGTAGCTCACACTACTACTTTCAATTATACTAACAAGAAGAGAAAGGACTGACATATTGAAGCCTGGAAGTCTGCATAGCCATGTGGCAGATGCTTCACATATAATCCACACAACAGGCTTCAAAGATTGAAATTTCCCCCTCCCTCTCATCACACCCCCCTTCTTTTTTTAAGACAAACTGCAAAGGTCATGCATTTTTAGGTGCCAGGGGTTATATTCTCCAGTACTCTGCTGAAATCCGTGCACGATCATTCTACTGAATTCTCTAATAATGACAGATCATTCTTTTCTATGGACAAATGACTGACTGCACTCTCCTCTGATTTTTATCCATCTCTCATGCCATAGGTATGATAATTATTAATTATTAATAAAATATTATTATGTATCCATATTTTATTAGGTACGATTATATGGGGAGGATAGGATAGTTTAATTAGTAGAGTGTTTGCCTCGTAAGGAGAAGGACCTGAATCTAATCACTAGCAACCACATCAAAACCCAGGCACAATGCCATGTGTCTCTAACTCCAGTACTTGGGAGACAAAGGGTCTAAGATCTCTGGGGCACACAAGCCATTCAATATAGTCTAATTGGTATGCTCCAGGTCAATGAGAGGCTCTGTGTCAAAGAAAATAGCTGTCACTTATCTTCTAGCTTCTACACTGTGCATACACACCTACAAACAGACATGTGCACAAGTACACATTAGTAAGAGAGAAAAGTACTACAGTATTCATCTCATAAGCCATATCATTTCATTATAATAGTCCTTTGAAGAATGTGAAAGTGGACTCTTGCCCCATAGCATGTTGTAAAAAAAAAAAAAAAATGGGTTCAGAATAGTTAAGTAAGTTGCCGCAAGGTCAGGGTGGGATGACAGGAAGCTAATGTGTTTATCCTCCGCTTCTTACTTCTGTAGGCACACAAACCATGGGAGTTTATTCTCGTGGCAGCTGCATATGATTGATTCAAGCCTGGGCAACTATATGGGTATTTGCCACAAGGCTTCCATGACTGCTAATGAACTGAAACAAAGCAGTTAGCCACAGATTATAATGCCACTGTGGTCCCATGACAAATGACATGGAGGAGATAATAATGAAGTCATATTGACTGTGAATAAAGAGACCACATCTGAGGTCTAACACAGCCACCTTTACCACTGTGGGAAGCAAAAAGGAACATCTGGGTGAGGGTCTACACTGGATTTGGCAATGTGCTGACAGAAGACCTTTTGGAAATCCTAATTCAAATGTATGGCACCTCAGATAAGAACCAAATATTTATCCCGGCAGAGGTGAAACCTTTTTCTTGTCCTGAATCTATTATGGATCTTACAGAAAATCTGCCCAAGAATCTAGCTCGTAGATCATGTAACTCACTGAGCCAGAACTGTCCTTTGCCTCCTCTGTCATTGAAGGCTGCAGAGCGCTGAGGTCCCCGTTCCCTTTAGAACACTAACACTGTTCTATTTCCATGATTAATTAGTGACTCATAGGTGAACTGAATCACTGGCAGGCTTTTCCACGCATACAGGATTTATGTAGTAGTTTCTCACGGAAGAGCCACAATGAAATAAACAGCCCACATTTATAGGGTGGGCAGAGGAGTAATGGCATCAGAGATTGTGGTTTCTTAACTCCTCCAGTTCTGTCATTCTGTAAGCATCTGATGATTCAGGCTTTTATACCCTGGCTTATTTCCCTGCGAGGGCATTAACACCCACCTACCTATTCATTCCCACATCCTTAAAGAAATGAATAATGAATGACACCTGTCTGATATAGAACAGTTAAGTCACATCATTTCCAAATTCCCTGAGTATCATGAATTAAAAGGATGAAATGCATCATAGTATTATTCATCATGATCATGAACACTGCAACAAAGACCCTACCCTCATATTATCCTTTCCATACATAGTTCCCAGTGATAGGTTCTGTTATTTAATATAGAGAGACCAAACCAACCAAAAGAAATATGAGATCACATTGATACCAATAAACAGAGGCTTAGGAAATAATTCTGCTTAGTTATCATGTGGGAATGAACTGGATCACTTTCTATAGGGTTTAGAAAATGAGAAATAGAGACAACACTTTATATCCCAGGCCTATGGGCACAAAGGAAGCAACAATGTTTACCCTGACTCTGCTTTTCTGAGTGCTAACAACATGATTCATCAGTCGGTCTTAATTATTCCCTTCTAAGAGCAAGATTCCTGTGTACTGGTCCTTCTTTCTTTCTTTCTTTCTTTCTTTCTTTCTTTCTTTCTTTCTTTCTTTCTTTCTTTCATTCTTTTGTCAGCTTTGAGATGCATCTAGATAGTAAGGGGCAAAGTAGATAAAAGGCAAGTTGAGGAAAGCATACATCCTGGGAAACTAAATGAATTGTTCCAAAATATATGGAAACCAGAGACTATCCCACAAATGATCTTAATTCTTAAGTATACTAGATATTAATATTACATTTATGTATTGAATGGATGGGTGGATGGATGGATGGATGGATAGAAGAATACTAACTCTGAGGATCTATAAAATATTTCTTAAAACTTAAGTGATATGGAATCTGGTCTTTAACTGTACCATTCTTCCTTTCTCTGTTTTTCTTTCCTTGTTCCTTCCCCCTTTCTACTTCTCAAAAAATCAAATAGTGGATGAGAAAGGCTGATTTAAAAAATACTATGATTCAGCCTTGTAAATGTCAGAATGACAACTAAATTTTATTACCATCTAGTGCCCAGGCTATTGTCAATAAGCCAGACAACTGCAGAGATAGGGAAAACACTCTCGTTTATCTTTCACTCCATCCCTTCTCATACTCTGCAGAGCTGTCATGCTGTTCCAGAAGGTTAACGAAGCTGATTGTATCTGACCAGGACAGCCACTTTCATTTTGTTTCATCATGAATGCCAATTCCAACTCTTAGTCATAACCATTATTAATGGAAAAGAGTAAGAGTTTTAATGGCATTATTAGGTATGGTTCAGCATTTCCAGGCATTTCTCCGGAGGTGGATGAGCTCATCTCCACCTCCATCATCATCTCCATCACCTTCATGTTCATTGCTATAATGTGTCTTCTAGAATCCATTGAAATTTCTCTGCCCCAAAGTAATTTTGAGCCATTAATATTGCCTTTTACTGTATGACAAATGCTACAGAATGAATATGTTATCTCTAGATTAAATAAACAATACGACTACAAATCTGGAATGTTACCATTTCTAAAAACTCCTGCTCAGTTTCATTGCCCTTTCCTCAAAGTACGATTGAGTGTGCCTTTGAACTGCAGAAAATATCATCAAGGATTTGGTATACAATGTCTGTTCTTTGCCATTGGCTTTTAACATTTCAGTACTCTTTATCTTGGCCTTGACTTGCTTCAAAATGTGCATTCAGACTAATAATATTTCTTTAATCTTTAATATTTCTTGAATCAGGATCCAGGGTCTTATTAGTTTCTCTTAGGAGACAGGCCCAATCCATGTCACAGAATAAACTTTTCATTACCATACCTAACTGGTGGGAAGTTCTGCCACGGTAGCATATATATTCACCAAAGGCCATTGAATGATGTAACTTGTAGTATGAAGCCAGTCAAATCAATTTGGGTGGCTTTAGACCTTTTTTTTTTTATGTTCAGGATGAAAGCCCATGGAGAAATACAGGATACTATTATTAACTTCATACTGACAGCTCCCTTTGGGCAGCTACAAGTTTATTGCTAGTTGGAGAATCAACTTTAAAGGGAGCAAACCCTGTAGTCAGTGACAATCATGCCCTTTGTGTTTCTTTATTACAGGAACAAGGGAAAATTGGAGTTGTCTTCAATATTGGCACAGTTGATATCTCCATCAAAGAAGAGAGAACTCCTGTCAATGATGGCAAATACCATGTTGTGCGCTTCACCAGGAATGGGGGAAATGCAACGCTTCAGGTGGACAACTGGCCAGTGAATGAGCATTATCCTACAGGTAACATCTTCCCGTTTAGCCTCCCAGGATCACCATTCAATGAAATCTCTTCTCATAACTGTCATCAGTTTATAGGCAAAGATTGCATCTATGACTTCTGTCTGAGAAAAGAAGTTATATCTTTAGGATTAGGGCAGTATAGGAAGCTTCTGAAGACTTACTAAGTATGCACTGAATATTTTATTTTTGCAAACCTTAGAACAATGCTGCCTGACTGGTTCATACTAAAGTTAAATATCATAGGATTTCCAGTGGAAGAAAGGAACATAATCCTTTTTGTGGGCGATTGCCAATAATCACAAGATAATGAACGTGATATCTGGTCTATGTGGTGCTATGTTGTTAGGTGTGATTGAAGGGCCAGATGGCAAGAGGTGGCAGAGAGAATATACCAGAAAGTTTATTAAACCCGAATTCATGAGCATTAGCTCAGGGGAGCAATGTGAAAAACCATGGGTAGAGCCTCCTTTCTTATTTTAATTATCGGAGTACTTCCCTCTCACTCACACTAAGCCTGTGTTGCTCTTTAGAATCTGGTCCTAGTAGTGATTGTCCTAGGAAGCATACTGGTATGGGAGATGGAGGGGCTAATCATGCATTTGAATTTCAGTCCTGGAGTGTGCAGCAGCAAACTCCCAGAGCCAGATGGTGAATCAAGGGCAGAGAGAGAGAAGGTTGGCTTCTTTAAAGAGACTCTCTCAAAAAGTCCCTTAGCTCTCTTTCTCATCTCTCAAGTCTCCTACCAAGAGTCCTGAGCCCTGGCCATAAAAGCACCAAAAGGAGAAAGAAAAATACCCAGCAAGGGACTCTTACTCTATAATTGCATTGCAGCCTAATGGACAGATGACAGAAAATAGCTCAGAAGATTGCACTTGTCAGTAATGTGAACAAGATGCATGTGTAACTCAGTGTTCGATGCTCTGAATTCTCCCATTTTTGTCTGTATTTTCTCTCACATTCTCAGCAGTGAGATGAGCACACTGAAGCCTAAATTATACTTCCAAGACACTGAGCATTTTAGCTATTAATTATCATGCCTGAAAGAAATATTCAAAGTAAACTTGAGTACTTGTGGCCCAAGATACTTTTCTTAATAGCCAAAAGAAAATGATTGAGTTTTCCTGATTTATATCAGTATTACATTTTTAAAAGGCAATCAATAGTGTGTTTGTAGCTTGGCTCTTTTCTGATATCCAGATTTTCCCTATTCCTGGTTTAAAAATTGTGGAAGAAAATGTTCCAAGACACTGAAGCAATAAATATATTAATTAATTAAAATTAACTAATTAATTCCATTTACCCATGTATCTGTCATCCTGGATTTTTGCCAAACAGCCAACTTAGCCAGTAATGGAGTTCTGTTAATATTTCTTAGGTTGTCATACATTCATACACACACACACACACACACACACACACAGAGAGAGAGAGAGAGAGAGAGAGAGAGAGAGAGATTCACACTTTTATGAATTTGAAGAAAGCCAGAGGTGTCAGCAGTTACTGTGAATTTTTATCAACATCCAAATTCCCTGGACACTAATAGACTCAATTTCAAATGTTCCTTGCTTAAAACCTGGGAATGTGATGGAGGTAGAGGGGACGAGAGAAAGTGAAATGGCAGAGACTTAAAAGCTCTTCATTTATTTGCTCATAGGAAAAACATCCATCTTCCTTTCTCCATGCATACTATCATTGGTACTAAAATTGCTGCTATATGATTTGTTGTATTTCTGCTTAGACTTTCCAAGATTTCTAAATTGATGTTGACCACTTACCCAGAGCCAATGGAGAATGAACAAACATGTTGCTATCTATGAGAAGGCATTGGAGTGATTATTTTAAAGCACCAGTGACCCTTGATACTCACCTCTCCCTTTGTATCTCTAGTTCTAAATTATGGTTTGCCTTCTGTAATCTTTCAGGGCAGAATAAACTCTTCTTTAATGGCGGTGCTTTTCCAGTTGACTATTATCATCACTGCTAACTCTCATTTAGTTGTAATAAATGTTATTATTGTTGGACAGGGTAGAGATTTGCCTTTAGAAATATGTGCCTTAGAACCACCTGAGGAGTTGAGGTTTTTATCAGTTATATGTCACAAGCATCTGGATTAAGCTCTTGAAATGCCCTAAGTATTGAAGTATTTGGTGTCTTTATCACATATAATTGAAGATACAGTAACAATGAAGCATGAAATAAGGATAAGATTTTCTAACAGTTCTGATTTTTCTCCTCTGATGATTACTATAACATTGGGAATGTATCAGATTCTCTTTTCAAAATTTCTCATTTATTTCCCCTTGTATTTATTTTACTGGTCCTCTATGCAAGTGCCCATTTTCCCAAGCTGGTAATCTAGCTCCAGACTTTCCATAGGCCATTGAGGCTCACCATCTCTTTGGTTTCCAGGCCTGATGATGCCAATGTAATGATCCTTTTAGAGTTATGTACAGGTTCAATGAGAAGAACATATGTGAAATGCTCAACGAAAAGCTATATGATCATGTACACACACAATAAATGGTAGTCACATTACCAGACCCGCTCATTTATGCGTGATTCATTTTGATTATTGGTCAGCCTGTGAAATGGATAAACTGAATATTGCTGTTCTCCAGTTCAAATCAAAACTGACCCTCAGGGGGGTGCTATTGCTATTGTAAAATAACTATGTAACTGAAGGACAGGATCTGGACCAGGTTATTTCTTCCTGATTAGATTCAGTTTATGCTATTGCTCTCCACAATAAGTGGAGAGATGTTTTGAAAAATACATAACCATAAATGCACATCTCGTTAGATTCATTTTCTACAAGAGTATTATATTTCAAAAATATGCCAAGACTTCCTAAGAATCCTTTGGACCTTGGATTTCTTAGTTACTGTCTTTTAAGACTGAAAGAATCCATTTAACCAAAGTTAAGGAATCATTACTCTAATATTAAACTATTTTAAGTAATTTATTTTAAACTTAATACCACAAAGTCCTTTTTGTCTGAGCACCAAATTACAAAGCCACCGATTTACTTAATCTTGACAGAGTTTCTACAAAATGCAGTAGGTCCTCTTCTTTTTCCAAGCCATTCAGTTGTAGTGACAATAGCAAAACGATTAGCAGCCACCAAGAAGAGTTCAGGAGTATCTTGCCATAAAAATCAGTTGTAGTGAGCACACAAAGATAGCTGTCATGAGATGTGGAGCAGAAAATCTACATTTAAGGAAGAAAACAGATATTAACAGCAATAGGTTCGTTCCATATTGTCCTGTTTATGATAGCAAGGTGCTCTCTTGAGCAACTGAGAATAATGTGTATATTATGGAGGCAGTGGTTTAATATAGAGTAGTTTCTACCAAATAGTCACTTGAGTTGTTTTATTCTGAGGCCATACTCTTGGGAGTCATTCCTGTCCATCACATCCAAAGGGGTCAGCTGCACAACAGAATGAGTGGGTCAGCTCTCGAATCTTTTCACTGTCATTTATAGGAGTTTACTTGGCTTTACTGAAACATCCTACTGTGAAATACAGAGAGCCCAGCAGGACAAAGAACATACAGCCCTGGCTCTTTGTGAATCAGTGAGTATCCAAAATGGAAATAGTTCTACAGCAATTGGGGTCTTCTATCACTTGATTCTGGGAGAGAGAACTCAAAAGTGACTTCTTTCTTTGAACCTGAAAATAGAAAGGCTAAGGAAGAGGAGAAGGAGATAAAAGGAGAATCAGCTCAGAGCTATCATCCAGACACTGACAAATGTGCCTTAGACAACCTCTGATTGCTCTCTCTACACAATGTGATGGGAAGGACAAGGGAGGGGAGGTGAAAGGTGAGTTGAACATGGGAATTAATTTTAGCCATAGTTTTGTCTCCTCCCCCCCACCCCCCGTGAGGCTGAGATGAATAGGCTTGTTCAAGATTTGCTCTCAACTGTGAATGGGCCACCATTATGCCACCACGGCTATCAGTATACTGGGCAGGGTACCCCGAGAGCTTTTTTGGTGAGAGCCAGATCTTTGAGAAATGATGAATGATAAGCAGTTCCAAATGCATAGGACTCCCATCTTCCCATCCAAGAGTTTGTTAAAAAAGAGCAAGGCCTCATTGCTTTTCCATAATATAGCATGTCAAGTCAATTGAAGTACTCTTGATTGAAATTCTTATCATTATTCTATTAGTCATTTTTCTGTTACTATCCTGAAATACCTGAGGCAATTAACTAACATAGAAAAAAAAAATCTGTGTTTATTGTCATGTTTCTAGAGGATGTATTAGCTACCTGAAGCAATTAACCTAACAAAAAGTACATAACTTATAAATAAGGAAAAGTTTATTTAGTTTACAATTCTGGAATTTTCAGTCCAAGACTGAGAAGACTCATTTTCCTACAGTTTCTTAGGAAGGTCACATGATGGACACATTGGTCCAAGGCCATTTCAAAAGGACACACTTCTGTTAAGCACACAACACTTTCTAATGACATCATCCAGGGTACCATGCCATTAGTGCATAGACCATTGTGGAGATACTCATCCAAACCATAACAAACTATGAGAGGCTCAATAACTTGCCCAGTGCCTCAGTGGAGCAAGAGCAGAATCAAGATTCCTTCTTGATTCTCACACGGTTCTACCCCATACACACCACTGCCCGTTGTACGATGTCTGACTTATTACTTTATCGATAATTGCACTTTAGTAAATATAAATAAAACATTTTCTGGAACAAAAATCTATGCCTGGAGTAGTTTTGGTAGTAGTGTTTCTGACCTTTGGTACTAATGGCATTTTGGGATACGTCAGCCTGTTGTGCGTTATGGTTGGTTCAGTGAGTTACCGACAGGAGCATGATGAAGTAGAGTAGCATTTGTGATTTCTTCCCATTGTATGCCAGCAGCAGGTTTCCACTTCAGAGTGAAATCATCCATGACTAAGAATCACTAAATTAATAACAGTATCTTTAAAATGTATTTAAATACCTTGCCACCCTGTTGCAGTTTAATGATAT